TGGACAAGCACAAACACAATATTATTAAATCCTGCAATTACCACATTCGTGCACTTCGCCACATTCGTCCATGTCTGACCAAAGACGCTGCAAACAAAATTGCTTCTAGTATCGTTAACTCTCAGCTTGACTATTGTAACAGCATTTTATCTAGCACTTGTCAAAAAAATCTTAAAAAACTCCAACGAATTAAAAATAACTTATCTCGTATATATAACTTATCTCGTGTATATATATATATATATATATATATATATATATATATATATATATATATATATATATATATATATATATATATATATATATATATATATATACATATATATATATATATATATATATATATATACATATATATATATATATATATATATATATATATATATATATATATATATACATATATATATATGTATATATATATATATATATATATTCTCAACAAGACTTATATTTATCAATAAATTTTAAATTCCATCGTAAAATATTTTAGCGCTCAAAAATTATGACCATATAAAAATTGTAACCCCCTCGAATTGAGGGGGATTCAAACTTAAAATGGTCATATTTTTTGAACGCTGAAATATTTTACAATGAAATTTAAAATTTATGGATAAATGTAAGTCTTGTTGAGAATAGTACAAAAAACATTTTATCAACTTGTTGGTCTCACGTTTGGGGCAGGTACGTCTCATATATATATACATATATATGTATATATATATATATATATGTATATATATATATATATATATATATATATATATATATATATATATATATGTATATATTAGGGTGCATCTAACGCTCCATACTTTCAAAAATTGATCGATCCCTATTCTTAAAACTTTCTATTGGTACTCACAAGACACTCGGTTAATTTTTTTTAAAATTGATGGGATTTAGTGGGGCAACCTCAAATATGAAACTTGCGACGAGACACTAAACAGAAGAAAAAAAAGTTTTTCAAATGTATGTCATGTTGGGTCTTAAAAGAAGTGAAATTTTATAAAAAAATTTTAAAAACAATATAAATTTTACATAATATTTATTATTATTAGTTTTATTGCATAAAAATTATTTTTAAGCAAAAAATTAAAAAAAGTCATTTTTTCATGGTTTTTATTTAAAATTTTTTGTTAAGGTATTTTTAACAAAAAATCATTACTTTTTTTGAAATTTTATAAAGTTTCGCTTTCATTGAGACCCAACATGGCATACATTCAAAAAACTTTTTTTTCTTTTGTTAAGGGTCTTGTTGCAAGTTTCAGATTTGAGGTGTTCTCCATTTGAGACCACCTCAAATCTGAAACTTATTTAGATTCTTTTGAGACCCAACATGATATACATTTAAAAAACTTTTTTTTCTTCTATTTAATTTACAATAGGGTGTTCCAAAAAAAATGATTTTTTTGAATTTCAACTAACATTGCTTTTTATAAGGTGCTTAAACCTTGATATTACTAAATATTAGACCACTCCAAAAATTATTAGACCACTTCATGACTTCCCTCAATGTGTCTTAAGGTCGTTTTTTGCCTGCTTTTTACCCTTTTTTTGGACGATCCTTATGTGAAAAAGTTTTTTTTTTTTGTTTTTCTAGCTTATTTCAATTGTTAAAGGAAATATAAATGCAATGTTAAGCCTAATTTTTTCATTTTTTGAACAATGAAGATCAGAAAATTCAAAAAAAAACAAAAATAAACACATTTTAGAGATTTTTGGGACTATTTTTATTCTGTTTGCTAAATAAACTTTACATATTGAAATATTTTCACTTTATATTTATAATAAGTTTCTGAAGTAATTTTTGATAACTTATAAATTTATTTTTAACTAAAAGTGTTCTTTGCATAATCAGCTTTTTTTTTAATTTTTCTTTCGCTCTTATATTTGTTCGATACAAGGAAGGTATTTTGTCTTTTTTCCTCACTGTGTGATTTATTGATTAATTCTTATTTATAAACAATAAAAAATTGTAAGTTTGTAAACAAATTTTCAATTTTCAACATAAAGCTAAGCTAAGTACATAAACTGTACATTAATAATTTATACCTGAACTAGTTTTATAGCCCTCTTACTGCAGTCATTTACTACTTCAAGATTATTCACAAATTGTTTAAATTCTAGGAAATAGTCATTTAGATCCCATGTCTCAACCGGAGTCTTAAGTTATTGTATCTCAGCATTTGCATGGTTTAGCATATGAAATATTAACCAACTTTGGTCAGTTATAAGTGGGGTCAGACTAGGGGGAGTATCATTACTATACACAAGGGAGTTTAGTAAATTCAAATTAACTGTTTGTCTTTCTTTGGCATAATTTGTAGGCCTTGGGGTAGAGTACAGCTTCTTGGCAATGTCACCCCGTTCTTGTACATTTTTGTCAGCAAGAGATATCACAACAATAAATGGTTCATTGCCATATATCTGACATGATGTACAGGCCCAGGGTTTCTTATTCTATACTGTTCACCTACAGATAAAACCATTGTTGTTAGCGATGCTAACTGAAGATAATCACACCTATGCTAACTCAAGATATCCATCCATCCTAAAAAAAAACTGCTTATTTAATAACTTTATTTTATTAAATAAGGTACTAAAATATTTAGTAAATTCAGAATTTTAAATACCTTTTTCATTGTTTTCATCCTGATAATATTTTGAGAAAAAGATAAGGCTTCTTTGATTTGTTTCTGTAACCACCTTTCAGAAATATCTTCAGTTTTTACTTTTTTTAACACAATGGCATTTTGATTTATTGAGTTCCAAACTTCTTTGAGTGTCTTAAACAAAGAATTATCTGGACCATTTGTTTTACTGCTTGGATAAATGTTCCAGCAGTGAATAATATGCCTTTCATAGATGTGATGTCTACAAACTAAGAGAAGTAGCGGTCTGTCAAGTTCTGCGGCTAACCTAATGTACACACCTTTTTTGTTACCAGTATTTACAGAAGTGATATCAAAAACGCATCCTTACAATTTATCAGAAATACAAAATTGATGAAGAAGTTTCATGATTGCGTTTTTCTATGTTTCTCCAGTGCAATAGTTTAAATGAGGAATACTAAGAAGCTCTGTCTGTCCATCGATTCTGATGGAAACAGCAATTCTTTCAAGTTGATATTCTTTTCCATTTGTGAACTCCTTAACAAGCTTTCCATCAAACTGGAGAATTATTGGTAATAATGAAGATTTAACAAGATCAGTTATGTATTTTCTTATCATGTCTCCTCCTTTAGTTACAACTTTCTCTGCAATTCTAAATGCAGTTGAAGTAGATAGTGCAAAATTAGAAGCATCACCTCCTGAATTGGCAATAACACTTGCCACTATTGCAGTGTGTTGTCTAACTGAAAGTCCTTCACCTATTGCTTAGAGAGCTATTTTTTTTTAATTTTTAGGTAAAGAAACAACAGAGGTAGGTATTTCTTTTTTTATATCTGCTACATATTCATAGTCAGAATTGTTATCACTACTCGATGAGTTTTCTAAAATGTATGGAGTGTTACCACTGCTTAGTTTGGTTTTCGCATTTGCCATGGAACAGAATTTATTGTGTGATCGCTTAATAGTGTATGTGCAAAATTTTTATCATTTGTTCCTATTCTTCCCATCCTATTACCTAATTGGTCCAAGATAGAGACAATATCTTCATTTTTAGCTTTAGACGTCCTTCTCCTGTCTTTCCTAATATCTTCAATGAGTTCTTCTTTTTTTTTACTTATCCAAAAGCATTTTAATATTTCATAGAAAAATTCTTCTTTTCTTTTTGTATCTGATGGGTTGTTCCTTTTGCTGCTCTTCTTTAACCTGTAATAGTTGTTCACCATTTTATCAATCTTATTCCTTAAAAAAAATTACTTTAAAATTTTTGAAATAAAGGTTAGAAAAAAATTGATAAAATTTTAATAGTTAACCTGATATTTTCCAATTTTATGATCGGAAGTCCTGCAAGATTCCATGACTTAAACAACTTAGACATTACACAGCAGTTGGCCTGTGGAGGACATCTGAGCTCAAATGAATTAATTTTGAAATGGCACTTTATTAATACTGTTTGCTTTACACTGGGATTCAAGTTTCTCAGATAAAGATAGTATTGCAAAACCTCTTTGCCGGTAGGAAGTATATAACTTGAAAGATTTTCCCTAACTTTTTCTACAAGAAATACTTCTACTTTATCTCAAGTAAGCTTTATCTTCATTTTTGGTGGCGTTTTATAACAATATATTTTTAAAGTATTTCAAGTCACTAAAAAGATAAATCATAACCAAAAATGGAAAATAAGTTAAAACTAACATTGTATTTGTGTCTGTATATATTAATGTGTTCGTGTGAATGCAAATGCATGTATGAATATATTTATATATGAATATATGTATATATATATATATATATATATATATATATATATATATATATATATATAATATATATATATATATATATATATATATATACATATATATATATATATATATATATATATATATATATATATATATATATATATATATATATATTTTTTTTTTTTTTTGTAATTATTATTATTATTATAATTGTTGTTATTTTTATAAATATATTTCAGACAACAGGCATATACAATTTATGTGCTAGGTCCATAGTTTTTACAAGAAAATATTATTTTAAACTTTAATTAAGCAAACATATGGCTTTATTCACTAAGGAACAAGCCATCAACTGTTTACAAAAAGCATGTCTGTGTTTCGAGATAATTGTATGAAAAGATGGTAATCTGTGCTCTAAAGGCATGAGAGATATTCTATAACACTTGTTGTAGCCAAAAAACATTTTACCACATTTATTGTAGCAATACTGAAGCCGTTCCATTGTTTTGTCATTATAATTTTATATATATATATATATATATATATATATATATATATATATATATATATATATATATATATATATATATATATATATACATTATTTAAAATTTTTATAACTAGTTTATTCTCTGTTTAGAAAATAAAAATGAATATTATCATATTGTTTTTTGATTTGGTTTGGTTATCCATAATTACTGAAGAAAAAAGCATCGCTAAAAAAACGAACATTGAAAAAATGGTTAAACACCTTTCACAATCAGTTCAAAACAATATAAAATATTTAGAAAATGCAAATGAAAGTCATGAAAAAAATCATTCCTCAAACTCTAAGGGTATTTTACTTCGTGATGAAAAAAGTAGCTATTTTGAAAGGTTGCATTACGAAATTATAAACACTGCAATTGGAGTCAATAACTATTACCATGAAAATCAGAAAGAACATTTTGATGCAAAATCACAAAAACCTACGGGAGATCTTGTCATAAAAAATAAATAAAAAAGTATCAAATGCAAATGTGCAAAGATCAATATTTTTTATATGGTACTTAAAAAAATAATTAAAAGCACGATCTCACAACACTAAAAGATGACAAATAAGAGCTTTATCTATCTAAATAGTTAAAAGATGCTTTTATGCACTATTATTTATTTAATTTTGTCTATACTCACAAATGCCTTAATTCAATTATTAAAACTTAGACTAAAAATTAATAATTCTAAAGTTTTCACTTGTAAAATTATTCATTTTAAAAAGTTAAGTGTATGTATATATATATATATATATATATATATATATATATATATATATATATATATATATATATATATATATATATATATATATAATTTTTCCAAGATTTGCATTAATCTTTATACATAATATAATTTATATTTATATATAATTTATCTTAATATATAATAACTTGGGTTATTCTTATTTGAATATGATAAAATCTTATCAAGACATTTTAAAGGTCAAACAAATTAATTTTAGCAAAGTTTTTGAAATTCCATTGACTCAAGGATCCTATTAAATTAAGTAAATTAAAAAATATTGCGTTAGAAAAATAGGTTTTTTCTGTTACCAATCCAACAATGGAAAAAAAATCCTTGTTTCAACCCATTCTAAATTAATAATTTTATGTGACTGTCATTCTTGTTTAACAAGATTTTAAATTATGTTTTTTAGGTAATTTTTAATAATTTTCCATATATGTATGTATATATAAATACATATATATATATATATATATATATATATATATATATATATATACATATATATATATATATATATATATATATATATATATATATATATATTATATATATATATATATATATATATATATATATATATATATATATATATATATATATATATGTATATATATATATATATATATATATATATATATATATATATATATATATATATATATATATATATATATATATATATATATATATATATATACACTTGTATATATATACAGAGGTGTAAAAATTATTAGACTCAATTAGCTTATCTTTAATAAAAATTGTTTTTATAATCTAAAAGGAATTTATTGAACAAGCTAAAGTTACATTAATACTTTGTATGCAAGCCTTTAGTCTTAAGTATTATTTCTTTACGCTTTAGCATGCTTTCTACAAGAATTGGACATTTATTTTTTGTTTCCTCATCGTGTAGCCATATTTTGTTAAGTTGTTTAATCAGTTGAACTTTTGTGGTAATGCTGGGTTTTTTAGTCTTTTCTTAACAACCGCCTTAATTTCTCTTTTGAATTCATATCTGGGCCTTTCTCTGGTCATGGCAACGTTTCCACATGGTTTTCTGTCGAAGACTTTGTCACTGACTTGGCTTTATGGCATGGTAAAAATAATTGTTAAACTTGGTTTATTTAAACAAAAAATTAACTTAAGTGTGAAAGTTCCTTGTTCTAAGTAGAACTTTTTGTTTAAAAAAGAATGTGTAAGAAAAACTATTGCAATGTTTAAATTACTCACCTAACTCCAATCACTTTCAAAGCGAGATTTAACCTCGTGGGCCCAGTTAACACTTTTTTGAGCCATTGCCATTGTTATTTTGGCTTTCTATCTAGACCGACGTGCATTAATGAAATCTGAAATCTTATTAAGACATTTTATTGACGTATCATTAATGATTTCAATAATGCACTTCTCCTAATCGTAGAACTGCAAATATGAACGCCATACTTCTCCAAGGGCTTACTTTGGACTTGCGTCCACAATATTCTTGTCGTGCATAATTGTAATCTTGCCCATTTTTAATAGCCTTGCTAATATGGCTTACAGATTTCGGTGAAGTTTTTAGTCTAGAAGCTATTTCTTGTTGTGAATTCGTTTTTTCTTCAAGTAATGTTTTAGAAACAGCAACTTTTCTAGGTGAAAAATCTTTGGTTTTCCTCATAACCTCAAATATGTAGAAAAAAACAATACAATTTGTAATCAGACATATTATACATTTTAAAATGGAAGTTATAACAAATAAACATTATTATGCTAATGGTTAATGATTGAGATTTAATTAAACTCATCTTTAGCTTTTGTTTTGATGAATGTATTTACAGTAAAAATTCTTATTACAACAGCTGATTAACCATCTTTATGTTTATAGCAGTGTTGGCAACCCACCAAGTTATGCATGGTTACTATGTTAATAAAGACTGAAGGCATGCATACAAAGTATTAATGTAACTTTAAATTGTTCAATAAATTGCATTTAGAATATAAAAACTATAAATATTAAAATTAACCTATTTGAGTCTAATAATTTTTACCCCTCGGTATATATATATATATATATATATATATATATATATATATATATATATATATATATATATATATATATATATATATATATATATATATATATATATATATATATATATATATATATATATATATATATATATATATATATATATATATATATATATATATATATATATATATATATATATATATATATATATATATATATATATGTATATATATATATATATATATATATATATATATATATATATATATATATATATATATATATATATATATATATATATATATATGTATATATATATATATATATATATATACAAATATATGTGATAGTTAATAGTAAAAGCTGTAACTGGCAGAGCCAGTGAGTGTGTTATCAGCAGGGATGCAAAATTCCATTGATTGTTCGGGATTCCGGGACTCCGAGCTCAAAAATCATGGATTCCATGGACTCCAACTCCACACTCTGGAATAATTTTTTTTTCTTCATATAAATATGGGGTTTTTATTATCTGGAACTTTTAGGCGAAAACTCCGGAAAAGTGAAAGGATACTAATAATATTTTCTCTTATGAATTATATATATGTTTATTTTATGTACCCTAAGAAGTCCTTACAAAATTCACTCCTACTTCCTAAGCAATGTCGCAAAAAAAAAGGTGGGGTTAAACCACGGATCCTTTATTTTTTTAGGAAAGTGCGCTACCACTGCGCCACGGCTGCTTAAATCCAAAAGATAATTTGCTCCGCTTTTGCTGGGTCGTAAGAATTTATAAGAGCAATACATCTCCAAAGATTTTTATTTGATTTGTATTGTCGCACGCACAGATTTTTCAGATTATTTAAAACCACATGATCATAAAATTATAAAAAGATTTAAATGCTTACTTGCATTAATTACACGCTAAATTAAAAAGTTACAAGGACAAAATATTACTTTATTTACATCATCAAAAAATGTTCAAATAAAAAACTCGTTTGTTCGTAAAAAAAGCATATCATCAATTAAATCAGATGTAAATCGTCTACGATGGTCTGGTGTCATGTGCTTTAAGACTGAAAACAGACGCTCGACACTGACTTGGAATATGGGTAGCGATATAGCGACACGGCAGGCATCCCGTACAACTTCAGGGAACTGCTCAATTAATTTTAATGGGTTAAGTTTTAAAAACTCGTTTAAGTTTGATGATTTGTCTTTAAACATTAAACGGATTTCTGGAATTGTTTTTAGAGCTAGTCGAAACTCTTTTTCGATTACATCTAGTTGAACCTGCATTTGTTCTCCTAAAGAATTTTCGTGAACCTCCTGTTCACACAACTCATATAAATTTGGTCGACGCTTAGCAACTGGTGAAGCATTTTCCTCATTTTCTGAATTAAAGTTTTACACATAAACTGCAAAAGAGTTGCGCTCTACTGCTTTTTTGGTTTTAATGAGTTCATTTTTCTTATATTCATTAGCGAGTTGAATCAGTTTGTAATGTATTTTCCAAAGTCCATCAGCTGCAATTATCTATAGAAGTATTTATATTTTTTGGAATATGTATTTATCAAATTTAATAAATAAATATATATAAATAAAATTTTATTAAAAAATAAACCTTGTCTTCAGTAGCTGTTAACATACAGCCGTGCCTAATATCAACGTAAACTGCTGGAAGAAACAACTGATTTTCGCGTAGCGCGCTTTCTCTATTATCCATTCCTTTTTGGAAATCTTTGGCTATGTCACTGTCCTTTCCGTCAAGTTCACACTTCATTGAATTCCAATCAAAAAGAAATTCACCTGCGGTGATGTTTTCACGTTGAAGACAAGTAGTAAGATTGTGTGCCATATGCAATACATCTCTCAATACCTCCCACATACCCCAAAAACATGGTCGCACATTAAGTTCTTTAGGAGCCTCTTTTTGCATATTTAGATTTTTAATTACTGAATCTAGAAGAATCTAGAAGAACAGAAAAATTCATTAAACGTATGTACAAAGTTATTAACTACTTAGATAAAGAGGTTTATTAAAGAAATATTTGCATAAACTAACATTTCAAAATTACTAAGTAGTATAAATGTCATTACCATTTAATAATTGGATTTATATTATACCGGTTAGAAAACTGGTTTATACACTTTGATTAAAACTTCGAAGTTATAACTTATAACTTACCTTAATTAACCTCTTAATCATATTGAACTGGCTAGACCAACGAGTAGCCTGATCTAAATTTGGAATGAGATGTGGAGCTGGTCCCTGAGAAGTCAATCCATTTTAAATTTCTTGCAGTTCTGACAACATCTTTGGCATTGTTAATTTGATTTTTTATTGTCGGCTTTTTCAATGCATCATTTACGGCTAGCTGTAAAGTGTGGACAGCACATCTTTGAAGATGTATAACACTCATGTTACTGGCAACTCCAATTCCCAAGACTGCTGCCACATTGTCTGCTTTAGAATAACCATCTTCGTCAAATTCATCAGTTTCTAATGAAAAATTATCTTCGTCCTCTACACTTTCCTCAACGGCGCTGATGCCAAAGTTGCGCACCAACTTTATATTCACCTAAAGATATTAAACATGATTTTAATAGTTAATTTAAAGTTAAGTGAATATGTATAAGGTTGCTAATGCGAGCTTTTGCGGCACATGTAATTTCTTTACCGCATGACTCGTTACTTTTATTTTTTTCGGCTACAAGACATTTGAAGCATACTAATTTGCATCCATTCAAAAATTTATTTGTACGATGAAAGTGTCTGTAGATCGTATCTGACGCATTGTTAGTGGCCATTAATGGTCAAGATTGTTACACGCAAGCTAATAGCAAATATTATTATGAAGAAAGAACGTTGTTATTGCAAATTATTGTGAACATGTAAAGTATTTTCTTCGTGTTATATATGCTTCGTAAAA